CATTACGATACCCTCTTTTCATGATATAAACTTCATTGCCGAGAAGAAGAATAAAAGCAGATCTTAGGCAGGGAAAGAGGGCACTTAGATGAGAGAGAGCAATCATCCAAGTGGTCGTTGCCCTCCTTAACAAAAGTTAGGAAAATCTTGTAAAGTAAATCCGCCAAAGGTTTCGTTTCAGGGGATAAAGGAAATCTTAGTAATTATAATTGGTCTATTGAATATGTCCCGAGAAAATGTACTCACAAATTAGAAAAGGGAAAAATGTTGAAATGTTAATTAATGCATACGTGAACTAAAAATAGATTAAAAGACAGGATGTGAATATTAAAGGGTGAGAAAGAGTGTTTCATTTTGAATAATAAATCAAGAAAAAGATTTACAGAAAAGGAATAATATAAAATGTTTAGTTGAAGCCAAATGCGATTAAAAAAAAAAGGGAAACTATTGGTGAATGATTTTTATTCTCCACTGGAAAAAAATACATATATTTAACTCGATCCTCAAAATTCATCCAAGTGAATTTTTCTAAACAAATCAGTATTTTTTATTTGATTATAGTAATTATCGTTAGATGAGCTGCACAACTTACTAAAATTGGGTTCAAATAATTGAAGTTTGAAACAAACCGTAAAATATTTTTCCATGAGAAAAAAATTAATCATAAAAATTTTACAGATTTGTATTTAGCGAAGACTTTTGAAAATTGTCCAATACTTTTGGCATTTGGCTAATTAATATATATATATCTATATATATATATACCCGTTTAAGAATTGTGCTCACATTTTTTTCCCATTTAAATATTAACTTGTGACTCGTGATGGGAAATATTTTATTCATTGTGTAGTTTCTAAAGGTATACATTAAATTCTACATTACGGAGTGGACATGTGGAATTTAATGTATAAACATTACGGATGTATAAACATTTAGTGTGTAAACATACAGTGGACATTACGATACCCTCTTTTCATGCAGGTGACGTGAGTGGGAGGATGAGACGCTTCCGCCAGCCCCGCTTTCTGTCCACCGTCCTCCTCACCCTGTTGTGCATCCTTTTGAGTATCAACATCTTCTTCCGTACTGGATACCGATTCAATATAGAGACCAATTTTCTTCGTCAACCGACGTTGCGGCAGGGAAGCAGGCCCAGACCCAGGATCCACCCAGATCGACCCTGGTTCATGAGGGGAGGTCTCATCCGACCAGAAGAGACTGGAAGTGGTGGTAAGATTTTGTTGTTGTTGTAGCAGCTACTTTTTTAGAGATTTGTAAATGGTTAAAAAAAATGTTGGTATAATAAATTTAGGGCATTCCTTTCAAAGCGAAATCTCTAATATGCTAAACATTGCAACGTTTATTTTCAAACTGAAGAAAAAAAATTTCAAGAAACAAACGTGAAATAAAGTAGTTTTCAGAATGTTATATTCATAATAATTCTGTTATTATTTGAAGAAAAAATAATAATAATGAGGTTCTTTTTCGGCGGAAAAAATGGTGATCAGCTGCCAATTCTTTAATCACCATTTGTTATATTTAGTCGTCCTGTGGCGACCGTTCATTTTATCCCATAATGGTTCCTGCTGATTCCAAACAACAGATCTTTGAATTACTTTTCTGATATTAAATTATTATTTACTTTACTGATACAGGTAGATTTAAAAATGACGCTATCTTCTTACGTTATCGCTGACTTTCAAAATCTATACATGCATCGATTTCTTCCACACGGTGACAGTGTTGGCAACATAAAACTTAAATACCACACAGGCATAAGTATGGTAGATATGTTTGAAAGTTCTTTCCTCTTGTGGGGCAATGGAAAGCTAAAACAATCAGAACTGTTTTGCAAGATCAATCGCCAATTTATCGAGACTTTTCCACTTAGATGAAAATAATCAAAATCAATGAATAATCCTCAATTTTTGAAAATTTCATGAGCCCAGATAATGCAGCGGAATCCCTTTCTAAATAAAAAAAAAAATAGACACGCTTTTCATATTGGCTAACCTGTAGCTTTCAGTTTTTTTTCTTTCTGTATTGACATTTTCCGCCATTTTCGTATTTAACCTAGTGGGCGCTGGAAAAAGATAGCCTTAACTTTATCTAACAGCCATAAATAACTTCCTTACTCACAGCAGTTACGAAAAGCATTATTTCATTAGACAACAGAGACTTCGAACAAAAGCCAATATTATAAGAAGTGATTCGAATATGTGTCAAAATGATGATTTTAAATCAATATTATCATGACGTTTGTTTGATTTAGGAATGCCTCCTCTCCTTTGGCCACACGAGTCGGGCGGTGACCGGATTGTAAATCAGCTGATGTATGTGCCTTCTGGCTACTTGGAGAGTCGCAACGCCAGTCGCCACAAGAAGATTCTACTCTACTTCGGTCGGAGAGGGTGGAGTGACCTGCCCTTGGGTCGAGAAGTCTTCCTCAGGGACCACTGTCCTGTTGACACATGTGAGATCACCACTTACCACACCAAGGACGTTGACCTCGTCCTCTTCAAAGACAGATTCGAGTTGCCAACTTACTCAAGACCTCCTCAACAAGTAAGTATTGACATTATTATTGCAAAATTAGAAAATGTTACCTGACATTTGTTGCCTTTTCAATAGTAGTCCCCTTTTCAAAAACTTTAAACTCTAAACGATTAAAAAATCTGTTCATTTTATGAACGTAAATAATTTTTTTTGAAGCATTTCTCTAAATATAATATACACTACAGGGTTCATTTCTAATTGGAAGACCACTCCAAGTAGGTTTATGTGAAATTTAAGTATTAATATGTAACGTTTTCTACTCATAAAATTTAAGGTTTGAGTTTTTGAACCAATAATATTTACGTTAAATAACAAACGTAAAATATTTATTTGTTACAAAATAAATCAGAAATTATAAGGATAAAATGATATTAATTGAAAAAGAAACCTTTTTTGGATTTCGTCGAAAAAATAAGAATTAAAATCTTGATTGTAACTTACAAGAATCAAGTTGATGTAGTTTTTGTTACTTTCCCTGTATTATGTTCATTATATATAAAGTTTATCTTCAAAAATATCTCCACTAGCCCTTTGTACAGCTCTAGTGCGACGTGAATTAAGTACCTATGTATTAAAGAAAGTACCAATGTATTGAAAGAAGTAAAATATATTAAATAAATTTCTTATAATCATTATTATTTTTTTTTTAAAAGAAAAGCACCTGAAATGCCGGTAGTTTATTTGATGTTATTATTGGTATTCAAAAACCTCCTGGATATTTCAACTGGACGGCCTCTTATCCCCTTGACTCGGACATAGTAGCTCCTTTCGAAAAGCAACAGTGATTGTCAGAAATGACACGTAAATTGACTTAAGATTTTTTTTTTTAATGAAATGGTAATAGTTGTCTTAGACACGTCATCTCATTTCTTCAAATTATTGACGAAGCCAATTTTTGCACATTGTATTTGAATTTCTGAGACATTTTCTTACAAAATTCTTAATTTATTATTTTCTTCCTCAAATGGAGAAAAAGAAAAGAAAAATGTGCTGTGAAATTATCAACCACATTTCTCAAATTGTTCGTGAAGTCATTGTTTTGAAAGGCACCATGATTTTTATGAAGGTATTAAGATATTTAGATCTTTGCGTCGTACTGCCATCTAGTGCAAAGTGCAGAAACTTGTGAAGTACTTATTTGAAAATAGAACTAAATAGTTCGAATTTTTTTCTTATTTTTTTATTTTATTTCTAATTGCTTGATCCATGAACAACAAACAATACAAATATAAGCAAAGAAACAACAGCAACAACAAAATCGAAATGTTTATGAGCTAACCAAAGGTAATTGTTCCATAAGTACTCTCGCTTCCCAATATCTCGAGAACACTAAAAAGGAACAGTAAGAAAACAGAAAAGTCTGATGAAAAACTTTCATTTTCGAAGACAATGGAGTGTATTGCTCTAAGTTTTTAAAAATGATACTTGCAGTAGTGAAATGATCCAATATTGTAGTCATAGACGAACTTTATTTATTTATTATTGTATTATTATTATTCTATAAAACTTGTTTTGAATACTCGCATTTTTGGATTTAATGCGTGACATTCACTTTTTAGATCTGGCTTCTGTTCCTGCTAGAGTGTCCACTTCATACACAGACCTTCAGTGCAGCTGCTGGATATTTCAACTGGACGGCATCTTATCGCCATGACTCGGACATAGTAGCTCCTTACGAAAAATTCGTTCCTTACCCGAAGCCAAGGCGAAAGATGAATAACCGTGATTACGCCAAAGGGAAATCCAGCAAAGTGGCATGGTTCGTGTCGAACTGCGCAGCACGCAACAAGCGACTACAATATGCTCGTGAACTGGCTCGGCACATTGAAGTGGACGTGTACGGGAAGTGCGGAGCGCACCGGAAGTGCCCACGCACCAGTGCAGGTCGATGCTTCCACATGCTGAACAGAGATTACAAGTTCTATTTGGCTTTTGAGAACTCCAACTGCAAAGATTATATTACGGAGAAGTTCTTTCTCAATGGTCTTGGGTAATTCATATTGAAACTAAAAATTATTATATGATATAAACTCTTCAATCCGTTTAGTATTACGTGTCAATATATGAGATAAGCCTTTCCAAATCCAACAGAGTGTGCGGGTGGGTGACCCACTTGGATCAGTCTGCGTAGGGGCCGAGGGTGTGCGGTACTGGTCCTCGTTAAACTGTTCTACCGTAAAGTGCTCGACTTTGAGTGCAGGTTGTTGGGCTACCGAAGCAGAGGATCAAAATTGTGATGACATGTCTTCGGATCATCCTCAGGGATGTTTCCCAGACCGTCGCCAATTGCCCATTATGCAACTCTAGTACGACGTAAATTAACTACAACAACAACAACAACAATCCAAATCCAACAGCCCATGATTTAAATTTTTAAATGGCAGTTGAAATCCTTTATGGATGGCTGATTGAATGTAAACAAAAACAATCTATTTCTGTAGTTGTTGTAGTTGTAGTTTCATTTATGTCGCACTAGAGCTGCACAATGGGCTATTGGCGACGGTCTGGGAAGCATCCCTGAGGATGATCCGAAGACATGCCATCACAATTTTGATCCTCTGCAGAGGGGATGGCACCCCCGACCTGCACGCGAAGTCGAGCACTTTACGGTGGAACAGTTTAACGAGGACCCATACCGCATACCCTCGGTCCCTACGCAGACTGATCCAAGTGGGTCACCCACCCGCATTCTGACCGCAGCCAGTGATGCTTGACTTCGGTGATCTGCTGGAAACCGTGTCTTAACGATCAGTCCACTGCGGGACTAATCTATTTCTAAGACCGGAAGAAATTTAGAGTTTCCTGTAATTTACAAATTCTAACTGGTTGTGAGCCTAAAACAAATTTAAGAAAATTAATTTCAAAACAAGGTTTGCCATGTTTTGAGTGTTTTCCCTTACTTGTCTATATGTGTGTAAAATATCACCGGTTGATATTTTTTGGGTTGCATCATAGCAAAATCTTCCGAATTCATTTGTTGTTTGTTTCATTGAAATATAAATAGAAAGAATGCTTTATACTGTAAACACAACAAGTATAATAATATTGGATGGCGCACTTTTTTCAGTTTAGGCGTAAAAATCAATCGGAAGTAGTAACCCAGAAGACTTACGACGAGTTTTAACCCCTAGAACCATCTGTGCTCAGTTTAACACGATCAACCATCCATGATCTCACAGGCACTGACCTTCAATATGATCTTTAGATTCCGTTTTTTTATTTGATCCGGAGTACTTAAACATATAAACAATAGCGCATGTCCGGCTCTTTCGAGGTCGCGCAGTGGACTGATCGTTAAGACACGGTTTCCAGCAGATCACCGAAGTCAAGCATCACTGGCTGCTGTCAGTGTGCGGGTGGATGACCACCTGGATTAGTCTGCGTAGGGACTGAGGAGGTGCGGTATTGGTCCTCGTTAAACTGTTCTACCGTAAAGTGCTAGAATTCGCATGCAGGTCGTCAGGCTACCGAAGCGGGGGTGCCACTTTGGAGAGGATCAAAATTGTGATGGCATGTCTTCGGATCATCCTCAGGGATGTTTCCCAGACAGTCGCCAATAGCCCATTGTGCAACTCTAGTGCTACGTAAATGAACTACAACAACAACCGGCTCTTTCGAGAGAATTGGGCACTTCGCTATTGGATTTTGTTTATATTTAGACATGGTGGATAAAGAATGAAATTCTTCTTGGATTGTGTGAGTGTAGGTTTGTCGTTTGCAGATGAGTGTTTGCTAGATAATATTTTGGGTCAGTTTTGAAATTTTCTTCTAAAATATCGTGAACGTTACATTACAGTATGTTCAGGTATTTTCAATGATAATAAACTGTTCATTTCAGCGTGCATCTTCCTCCGTTTAACCGGTTTTTTACAAATTAATAACAAAATAAAAATAAAAATTTGTTTGGAATGAAACTAAAAAGGAGAAAAAATTCTGTTTTTTTTGCAATCCAAAAACAAAAACGTTAGGTGTATCACTTTTCGAAGATGTACAGGGATTTTTAGTAGAAATTTGTTGCAAGGGTCATGCTTCTTACATCGTTCGTTTATGATTGGGACACATTTATAGTAAATAATTCAACAATAGAACTCTCTTTTCTAGCATTTGACTTATTAAGCGAAAAAATGTATGGGCCACAGCCGTTTATACGAAACGAATATTTAACTCATTTTCTTGTTTCTTAGGAATGGTGTTCGTTAGTCGGAAAAGAGTCTATAATGTAGGCGTTTGACGTTTATGCTTATATGTGCCCATTTATAACTTTGGAAGAAATATTACCAAACATTGAGGGTACTGAGTAAGAAGTCAAAGTCGCTCGTTTAGAGCAAACACACTTGAGATTTCAATGAACGAACCAATTCTCAAAGCATACGAGTAAAATCGCGTGTGCGAAGTTGGAGATGCAAACAAAAACAAGTTTTTCACTGGCAAATAAAATTTCATCCATCAGGTTGTCAGTCACATCTCCGTATTCGCGAATTTCCCCCAAACAGAAATCTTGTTATTTTTAAGTAGGTAGGTTGGCACTCCATTTACGTCACACTAGAGCTGCACAATGAGCTATTGGCGACGGTCTGGGAAACATCCCTCAGGATGATCCGAAGACATACCATCGCAATTTTGATCCTCTCCAGAGAGATGATTTCCCCGATTTTGTAGCTTGACGACCTGCACGCGAAAGCGAGCACTTAACGGTAGAACAGTTTAACGAGCTTGCACCCTCGGTCATAGCGATGGCTGATCAAAGTGGTCATCCACCCTCTTACTGACCTCAGTTAGTGATGCTTGACTTCGGTGTTCTACTGGGAACTGTGTCTTTACGATTAGTCCACTGCGGGATATTTTTGGCCAATTTTAATGTCTTTGTTTTTGATGTAATGAATGGGAACCAAACAGTTGAATTGAAATGTCATTTCTTGTTTCAGACATGATATCATTCCAATTGTGATGGGTGCCCGTCCCGAAGATTACGCGAGAGCTGCTCCACCCCACTCCTACATTCACGTGGAAGACTTCTCAAGCCCCGCCCACTTAGCTGAATATTTACACAAAGTGGACTCCAACGACACACTGTTTAATTCATATTTTCAGTGGAAGATTACCGGAGAATTCATTAATACCCGGTTCTGGTGTCGGCTCTGTGCTCTTATGCACGCCCCGGTAGTTCCTAAAGTGTACACTGATCTGGAGACTTGGTGGGCTGGCAGAGGGACCTGTGTCACCGGAGAGTGGAAGAAAGCGTCATCTGGTGTCGAGGGTCAAGACACTCCTATATATCCGACCTGAACGTTACGCATTTTTGTATGATCCGTGAAATCCATTAAGCCTTTAAACAAAACCGTTGGAGAATTCGACGATCCAATTTGAAGCGTTGATGAACTGTTATCTGGAAGGTTAGCCTTCAGTTGTTTCTCTGTCTGTTAAAATGATGTAAAGGCGATCTCGTGCATCGCTGCTGAAATGAAGCAAAAAGTTTTATTTTTTGCAGTTAATCTATGTCAATTGAAACAAAAAAAAGATTTTGCTTCTTTCATTATATCGGTAGGAAGATAATATTTGTTCTATTTAACTTTCATGATAATATAATTGTGATAAGGGGGTATGTTCCTACTCGCTTCATTCACCCCTCTCTTCGACTGAGACACAATCACTTCTCTGTTTTGTTTCTCGAGCTCTTGAGGATTGTAACATTAAAACTAAAAGTATTCAGTGAGATACCTTCAAGTGACGTAGTGTGGGTATCTCGATCCTGATGGGTTGTTGAAACGGGGCATTTATTTACATTAGAAACTGTTTTTTTCCATTCCATTTCGAGTAAACCAAGCCCGTCAAGCATCAGTGCTCTTAAGTGACACGTTCTAAATTCTATCACAAAGATTCATTTCAATTCTTTCACTCTATATTTACACAGAGATTTAACACAAAGACAGGCACGAAGACATGTGGAACATAAACAATCTAATTATGCATCAGAGTTGCCAGACTCACAAATCAAATATATATCATGGTTACAATAAAATAGGTAAACCAATAATTAATCTAAGTTAAGTAAAAGAAGTAGACGAAAAAGAATTATATTTCATCTAATTCGATGTGCGATATGGATCTGTATTTAATTAACTTATCGTTCATTAACATTCTAACTTATGTAGAGAAATTTAGCTCAACTTTAATACGACATTTTGTTGATAAAGATTAGCTATGTGTGGGTATAGGATGTCTTCTTCTTGAAGTGCAAGTACCCAATTAAATGATTCCACATTTCTTTTGCTTGTTTCAACATTGATTTCACAGAATTAAGACATGATTCTACTAAAATGAAATTTGAAATGAAACATTTTCCCCAGTTATCATTACGACTTCAACTAAAAAAAAATGAAATTCTGAATTTTTTGATTACTATAAAAACTCGATACATTTTTGAACCCGAGAGATTATTTAGCTATAGTTAATTCCCAATAATGCTCTATTTTTACATTCAGTATACTTTAATTGCATTGTGCTTTTCATAAAGCTCATTATAAAAGTAATTCATTCACCAGGTAAGCAAGGTATATACCATTTTTAAACTGCTTATCATAAAATGCTGCGTCATTAGGAAAGAACACGACGTTTTGGTTTGATTCTTTAAATCGGAATAAAAATCAAAATAAAATTTAAAAAAAAAAACGTTGTAATATACTCAGAAAGGATGATAAGCAAATGTTGCTGGTACATACCTTTAAAAAAAGGTTAAAAATACTTTTATGATTTATATAAATTTTATGCTAAAGAAATCTGGATTTTCCCTGTTGATCAAGGAACCCGGTTTTTTTCCTCTTCAATTTAATAAGAATGTTGGGCAAGAAAGTAATTTCGGTGTTTTAGTGAGAAATAAAACTCTGATCCTTTTATAAACTTTCTGATAATCTCAGAATTTCATGTCCTTATGATATCATTCTGAATTCAGATTACATTCATTTTATTTTGTAATCGTTGTTAAACAGTCGACTCCATTTTTTTAGTTTACGACTCCTAACGTTCAACTCCTTAGCCTTGTCATTATAAACCCGGTTCAGAAGACAAGGGTATTTGCGTTACATGGAGAGGAAAACCTCCCACGGGTTGCCTGACGGGGAGAGGACTCTCACTCATGATCTACCACTGAGGATATTTTACGTCAGCACTGTGGTCGGTGCAAACCGGATGCGGATTTCGTTTAAACCAGTCATCGCTGCCATTCGAACAGCATTGGAAGGCGAACGCTCTATCCCCTCACTCATCACGGCTCGATGCCATTCATTGAAATTTTTCTATTTAGATGTTTTGTGAAGTTTAAAATAAAAGATGATTCGCAAGGTCGGGGGAGGATTCTACGGGGGATCACAAAGGAATGGTATTTCAAAAAGGAGTCGAAAAACGTGCGAAATAATTAGGAAATCCCCACATTGTATTATCGGATCATCATTTACTTCGAAACTTACAAAACTTTTTTTTAAAAAAGTCATAACGATAATCTCAAATTGCGTTTGTTTGAGTTTTTTGCTGATAAAAGACATGAAATTCCACAAGCACGGAATGACCAGAAAAAATAACAGAAAGCGTCATCGAACAGAATGGCTGAAGATACACTGTCTGACCAAAAGTATCTGGACACCCGGTTGTTATGTGGGGGTGGAAGCATAATGGTATGGGGATGTTTCTCGTGGTTTGGTCCATTAATTCCTGTGGTTGGAAACATGAACTCTGATATGTAGGTGGACAATTCTGCACTCTCAACTCCATGGCAATATTGCGGCCCATTTCTCGTCCATCGAGGCTTGCACAGACGTGGTTTGATAAAATGGATGTTCAAAAACTGAAATAGCTTTCTCAGAATCCCGATCCCATAGAAACACCTCTGGGACGAATTAGAGAGCAGATTACGTAGCCACCCTCCTCTCTGCAGGCAGCTCTCACTTCAGCTGAGATGGAAGTCAATTCCTATCAAAAACTGGTGGAAAGTCTTTCCCAGACGTGTGCTTGGCTGTCATCGATGCAAAAAAGGTGATCGACATCCTATTAATATGTGCCTCAGCACAGTCTAAGTCTATAGCACTTTTTGTCTAGACACGTTTGGCCAGATAGTGTATTTGACTGATTGTTTTGTTTAGAAGGAAAAAAAAATTGGGCCTTGTTTCACACTAATACAAAGAAATTACTTTCTTGCCAACCCAATATAAAGTGACCCAGACTCTCTTATCGTCAATTCAAAGTATTAGTTTCTAAGCGCAGCAAAGGATTAAATGTGATAAACGAAAATGTATAATCATTTTATCAAAGCAATAATCAATGAACTTCAATCGTAAAATCGTAATAAGATCTTGAATGAATGATTATATCGCTACTAACTGGTTTATTATATCTCGAATAAGGAACAACTCATTAAAAAAGGCTTGAGATAGAAAGACAAATACTTAATGGAGAGACTTAGTCATAGATAGAAAACTGTTATATTGCATTTTCTATCGCGAGCAAAAAGTAGTCATAAACATACATGATGTATTAAACCATCATCAAAATGCGTTGGAAGGAAAGTCCATAGTTTCCAATTCTAAAAAGGACACACGTTTTTGATTGCGGTACGCTTCCAAAAATGATTCGAGGTAGAAAACCGGAGAATGATACTCACATTTCCGACTCAGTATTTCATTTCCTACAACAACTTTAAAAATACAATCTATAGGATATCTATAATATTCCCTCTAATGCGTAATGTAAAAGTACGTCTACAGTTTTGAACTTAGAACGAACTCGTCTCTTAAAAATGTTCACATCAAGCTTGCACTCATCCCCCCCCAGGTGCCACTGCTGAAACTTGATTTAAATTGTTGTAAAAATCTATGTCGGGTCTCTTTTGAAACTTATTTTGTAAACTAGGAGCCATTCAAATATTTCATAAGCACTTGTAGTTTTGTTTATTTTTGAAAAAAAGATATCAATTGTATATACTTATAATTGTCGTACAGAATATAAATTATTTTGTAAACTAGGGGCCGTTAAGAAATTAAGTAAGCAATTGTAGTTCTGCTTATTTTGGCAGAAAAAGAAATGTGATTTGATCAATGCTTCCATTATATATCGATACAAAATGATGACTTGTAGTTTTAGATAAAATCAGGCCTGAGATGGATAAGATAAAAACTGGCCATTTCAATGATGGCTAGTTTTCTGGAGGAATATAATAACTTATTCATCGGCAAAGAAACAGTCTTATGTTTAACAATCTTTGTAGCCATGAGCTCTTCCCGAAAACAATCAAGAACGAAATAATCTTCTCACCAGTTTCCCCCTCCCCACTTCATATACCGTAATTTTCCTTTAACAAAGGAACCCAATTATATTTTGCATGTACGAATCAGGCATTCATAATATTTGACAAAATAATTTCCAAAACATTGAAAATGGCCTTTTAATGTGAATAGATATTTAGCTGTATTGTATGAGACGACAATGTTGTGTTCTGTCAACAACTGTATTTTTATAAATAAAATGCATTATATAATAAATGGTGTATTTGTTGATTTTTCTCTTCAATTTATTATCTGCATTCCAGCAAGTATATTTTATTTAATAATCGGTACCAAATCTTAGCTATGTTCAGCTCCGTAGCTTTGTCCTTGTTTACCCAAAGCAGAAGACAAGAGACCTACTGGATGACACTTTTATTTTATGACCGCCGTTGAACTTCCGATCCGATTTTAGGGTTGACGACTACTCATGTTCAACTACGTAGCCTTGTCATTTTGAACCCAATCCAAAAGACAAGGGAACTCCTGGATCAAGTATTGGAAGAAATTCGCCTTCGTGAGGGACTTTTTTTAATGGAACTAACCCGCATTTGCTGTGCATGAAGTGGAAGACCACGAGAACCTCCCATGGTTAGCCACGCGACAAGGGGACTCTTACCCATGATCCGTCTACCACTGATGCTATTTCACATCAGCACTGTGGTCTGTGCAAACCAGATGCGAAATTCGTAACTACCCGTCATCGCTGGAGAACGTTCTATCCCCTGAGCCATCTCTGGTTTACACTTTGGGACAAAAAAAATTTTTTTAGAGAAATCTTTAAGTGAAAATAAATCATATTTGCGTAATAGATAAAAGAAGACTGTTTAGCCTGACGCTGAAGGGGATATTTCATGATAACACCGTGGACCGGTGTGTGCGAGGGAGGGGGGTGCGAATCAATCCTGTTATCACTAAATCAGAAAGTGAAACTTCTAATACCTGAACCAATAAATTGACTTGTCAACAAATTAAAAATCGAATGTTTTGCTTCGGTTATTATCTCGTAATGAGTCATGATAGTTTGTATTATTTACAATATGAGTCATGATAATTTGTGTTTCGAGTTCTGATAGATCATACGGTGTTCAACCTGAATATTAATTCTAAAACCGTTTATAGATGTGCCCTCCTACAATTAATATGCTGACCACAGCTAACTCAGAATATCTATAAGGAAGTGGTCATCTGTTATACTAATCGAAGCAATAGAATCAGTTAATAGACGAATTTTGTTCAGTCCTTGATGAAGGGGGAAGGAAGGTTATAATTAGATATTAATGGAAGCGAGATTAATATAACTCCTAAATTAGATACATCTGTCCTAGATATTACACATATATTAGATATTTAGACTCTATGAAGATAGCCCATAGATTATAGCATAGATACGATTTTATAGCATATATTACAGGACCAGGTGTGTCTACCCCCTCCCCTCCAAAGCAGGTTCGGACATCCCCCCTAAATTTGAAAATCTGTCCCCTCATTTCCACAAACACCAAAAATACATATACAATTTTTATTTAAACAATTTCTTAGCTCCGTAATATTTTGTAAAACATGATATTTGGAAGACGAATTTAGCATTGTGAAAAAGAATGTTATGCAGAACTCAGATGCAAAATGGTGCAAAGTATTGTTCTATTTAAATATTATATCAATTTAACGATCAAATCTTTGATCCCAAGTTTATTGTTGTTAAACATTTGTTTAAATATAACTAGATATTCATTAAAGAATAATCTATAGACAAGGGTTAATTTAAAAAGGGTGGAAGGAAATTTGTAAAATTATGTATGCTTTTTCAAATTATATGTCTCCAACGATAGTATATTTTCATATATTATACATCAATTAGCAATCGAGAGCAGTGGTGGCTTAGGGGATAGGACACTCTCCTCCCAATAGCCGACCCGGGTTCGAATTCCAGCGATGACTGGTCGATGCGAATTTCACACCCAGCTCTCAACAACCACAATGCTGACGTAAAATATCCTCAATGGAAGACGGATCATGTGCTAGAGTCCCCTTGCCGTCAGGCTAACCGTGGCAGGGTTTTGTGCCTTTCCTCTCCATGATCGGCAAATGCACTTTAGTTCCATTAAAAAGTTCTTCACGAAGGCAGATTTCTCCCACTACTTGATCCTGGATTTAATTTGTCTTCTGGATAGGGTTCAAAATGACAAGGCTACAGAGTTCATTGTTAGTCGTAAACTTAAAATTGGGATGGCTCTTCAATGACGGTGTGGCGTAACTACCACTACGCCACACCGTATACGCCGTTTGTTCATACATATGGAACAAAGTTACTAGATTTAGATTTGAACTTAAGACGCCAGTTCCAATGGAAACTTATTGTTGCTGACGTTAAGCAACCTATACTTGCTATAGACTTTTTAACAAATTTCAATTTGGTAGTCGATGCTCGACACAACTGTTTTATTGATGCCAATACGAAATTTTCGTCATCCGGGTTCCGAGTTGAAAACCAAGACTTTACTTTTAATTTAACTACCTTGTCTGAGCCTTTGACAGAATATAAGAAAATTTTAGCGGAGTTTCCAACGTTGACAAATTCTTGCTGTTTAGGTAAACAGAAACAAAATGCTTTGGTTTCTCACTTCATTGAAACTGCAGGCCCTCCTGTGTTTGCTAAACGTAAAAAATTGCGGCCGGAACTTCTAGAAGCAGCTAAAAAAGAATTTTCCTATCTAATGTCATTGGGAATCATACGCCCGTCTAAAAGTCCATGGTCTAGTCCTTTACATATGGTCCGAAAAGCGAATGGTGACTGGCGACCATGTGGCGACTGTCGCCGATTGAATGCAGTTACTATTCCCGACAGATATCCCGTACCCTACATTCAGGACTGTACTCAATTGCTGGAAGGTAAGAAGATATTTTCTAGTTTAGATTTATATTGAGCATTTCACCAAATTCCAGTTAATCCTGAGGATATACCAAAGACAGTAATAACAACTCCATTTGGTTTATTCGAATATGTATTTATGCCATTTGGGTTACGAAATGCAGGCCAAACTTTCCAGCTCCTTATAAATCAAGTATTATCAGGTTTAGATTTCTGTATACCCTATTTTGATGAGATTTTAGTTGCCTCAAAAGATGAAAAGGAACACATAGTACACCTTAAACTGGTACTTCAAAGATTGGTTGAACGCGGTTTAACTTTAAACGCTTCTAAATGTGTCTTAGGCCAAGACTCTGTTTCTTTTCTGAATTGCTTAATCACTCCTGAAGGGGTTAAAGCACTCCCGGCCAAAATTGAGACTATTTTAAACCTGCCTAACTGTCACGAGGTGTTATAATTTAATTGTTTTTTGTGCTGGCTCAAATTCCGGTGGCAACGTTGTTCATGATGCCATGGTTACGAGCGATTCTGTAACTAGAGAGAGTAGTTGAAAAATAATAAACAAAGTTCTTTTTATAAAGATGCCTCAAGATTCCTAACTTGTTATTTATATAAGGACACAACATTTGGTGACCCGTCGACGTTTTCCGTAGTTGACACAGGTTAGTGAAATATTTTATAGTGAGAGGAAAAGCATTGAATTTTTGTATAATGGAGGACATAATCAGAAAACGTAAACCACTTAGAATGACTTTTACCAAAACCATAGGAAGTTTATTTGACGAATTAGAAAAACAAACGCCTGACAGTAAAAACATCAAACAGCAGTGTTTTACTTTAGATAGAGTTTTTAATAAAATGAAAGAATGTGACGAATTAATTTTGAACGATATAAAAACAGACGTTGAATTTGAAGCTGAGTATAATAAGATTGAAGAATATGATCAAAAAATGGATTTGGCAAGAGCAGAAAGTGAAATATTTTTCAGTAAACAAATTGTGTTGGATGGAGCGGCGAGTTCCGTCACTTTATCGCCAAATACAAAACGAAGAATGCGTCTTCCGAAGATTGAATTGTTACGGTTTGGAGGAGACCTGAAAGATTACCTTGGCTTTTGGAGCCAGTTCCAAAGAATACATACTGACAACGAGTTGGCTCCAGAAGACAAGTTTCAGTATCTCCTGCAGTGCGTAACACACGGTAGCCGAGCTCGAGAAGTAATTGAAAGTTTTCCGCCAACAGCGGAAAACTATAAGAAGGCTATCGACGCGCTGAAAAGCAGATTTGGGAGAGACGAG